CTCCATTGTATAAAAATACCACATCTTTTTCATCCATTCCTCAGGCAATGGGCATCTTGGTTGTTTCCAAGATTTGGCTGTCACAAATTGTGCTGCTATAAACATAAGCACACATATATCACTATGATATTATGTTTTCAGATTCTCTGGGAAAATTCTCAGTAGAGGAATAGCTGGTTTAAATGGAATTTCCAGTCAAGTTTTCTAAGGAGTCTCCACACTGATTTCCATAATGATTGCACCAGTCTACATTCACACCAGCAGTGGAGAAGGGTTCCCTAGGTTTCTTTTTCTTGTTTTTCTTTTTTTTTTTTAAATGTATTTAGCACAGGTTCTACAGGGTCTCACTGCACAGATCAAACTTGTATTAATCCTTACTGTTTTTCAGCCTCCCAAATGCTGGGATTACAGGTATGCACCACCACACACAGTCTCAATTGCCATCTCAGTGTACCCCAGGGTTGGGCAGCATGACAGGCTGGGGATGGTCCTAGGTTTTTTATTTAGTACAAGATTGAGGCATTTAGACTTGAAAGTCTAAAAACTCTATGTAAAAAATTTGAAAGCGTTTGAAGTTATTTCATTATTTACCAGTTTTATTTGGATAGAATTTACATATTGTATTACTTAAACATACAAATATTTTTGTTGTTTTTATATTCAGATGTGTAAGCTTAATCACAACTAAGTTTAGACCATTTTATTGTCTTTACCCCTTAGTTGTGACCCCACAATTTCACCATTTTCCTTAGACTTAGCCCCCTACTCACTTACTTTCTGTCTCTGGTGATTGACCTATTATAGACATTTCACTTGAATACTATTTTTGAGTACAGTGTATGGCTCTTTTTGATTAATTTCTTTTTTCTGTTTTTTTGTTTTTTGTTTTTTGGTGGAACCGGGGATTGAACTCAGACCCTTACGCTTGCCAGGCAAGCACTTATTCTACTGAGTCATCTTCCTGGCCCCTAATTAATTTCTTTGATTTTAACATATACAAGCCGATAGAGGTACAAGGGAGAGTGGCTAGCAGCAATACTGTTCTTTGATAGATGTGGAAATCATGTATTTGATTCAGGTTTTAGGAAAATTTTGCCAAAATTAGGGACTGATTATATTTGAAACAGGCTTTTAAGATACCAATTCACTTAGTTGTACATAATTATAATATCTGTTTGAGAGAATGATATTGGTAATTTTTTGATGTCTTATAGATGTTATAATGAATTTCATGATGGAGGTAATAAAGCTTAATTTTTACCAAGAAGTTTAGGGCTGTGTTAGTATCATTTAAATTCACTTTTAATGATTTTCATGGTAGTTTGATTATGATTATGATAGAATTGAGCATATTTTCCCCTTTTCTGATATAAGTATAGTAAGAAAATGAAAATGTATAACTGAAGTAATTTATTTTTTTTTTATTTTTTTTTTCAAAGTTTTATTGACAAACAGATAGCAATGAGACAGTTTCAAATCAAATCGGAAGGACAGTTTCAACAAATAATACACTGCATATATTCTTCTTAGTGTAACTGAAGTAATTTAAAGTTGTACTCAGGCTTGAGACAATCTCATTTTTAGGAAAGAATGTATAAAATATCAGACTTAGAATGAAGTGTACGTTATTTTTTCTCTAATGGTGAGGATTTTTAGATTTAAGCAAGCCATCTGTTCTAGCCATTTAAGCAGTTCAAATACTGACCTCAGCCATCTTTTCGGAACCCAGATTCTGTCAACAAAATAAATCCCATAACCCAATAAACCATCAGTGTCAACCTTAGAACACCAGGTGACTTTCTCCTTAAATTTTCAGCTGACTTTTTCACTTGACTGGTTGTATTAATTCATATGCAGAATAGTACATTAATGATTGCACAGACTTCTCTATGTCCAGCAAGGAAGAAGTCTGGGGTAATTTTTTCATCCATAACAATTGTGGTCAGTTAGTTAAAGCTGACCTGAATGCTGTCCAGGGCTGATGGAGTATCACT